AAAAAAAAAAAAAGAAAGGAGGGGGTTGGGGGATTGAAGTAAAGACAACGTGGCGGAAGGTGGGACATTTAATTATGTGGCCTTTTTTTCCTTTTAAGGGGGGGGGGGGGTGGGGGGCAAATTCGGTTTTTTTGGGGGGTCCCCCCGGGCTCAACAAGTTGAATTTCCCAAAAAAAAAAAAAAAAAAAAAAAAAAAATAGTTTAAAAGATATTTTATGTATTTTAAAAAAAACAACTTGAAACAAATACCATAACATCTTTATCTGGCAGATGCGTTTTATAGACTTCATTAAAAAATTTCATATTCACTTTTTACACCTTTTTAGAATGGTCCTTCCCCTTCAAAATTTTATTTTTGTTGAAATTTTGGCCCTTTGTGTTGTTTTTTCCTTGGGGGGGGGCGCCTTTGCCCCCGCCTTCGCCCTTTTTGTGCCTTTTTTTGGGGAAAAAAAAAAAAAAAAAAAAAAAAAAAAAGTAAAATCAATTTTATATCTTATGAGTACCAATTCACCCTATTTGTTGTGAAAGTTTTTCTTTTTATTTTTATTCACTCTGTGTCTTTTTAATTTTCTTTATTTTATAAATTTATTTAATTCATTTATAAAATATAATAAAAATAAATAAAGATAATATTATTATATTTAAATTGATATTTCTGTCAAACAGTTTTTAAATTTTACACAGAATACGTATAGCACATATATGTTGCTAATTTTAGTTGAAGTAGTTGTCAGTTCATTATATATTTTGCTAATTTTTAAATTCTTAACTTATCATGTTTCATACTCAACGGAAAGAGATTGGGAAATAAATGCGCCATGGTAGCATAAATCTCTTTCTTGTTTCTGTCACTCGCATGTTTGAACAAGCTAAAATAGTACTCGATACCCATGATCCATATACAGTCCATACCCATGAATAAGCTAGGAAGGTAGCTCTATTTCTTAAATAAATTCAACCACTTTGCAATCATAACAAAACTACAAGATAGTCCAAAATTTGTGAAGCTAAAAAATTAGGAATTTTTCTATAAGTTCATTACATTTCTTTCACAATAATTTAAGAGTAAGAAAAATTATCAAAGAACCATGTTGAACACTGGGTTCTTAATGTTACTGGAGTTAAGGCTAAGGAAGTCGGTAATATTATTGATAAAGATTATGGAGCATAGTGATAATCACTTCACGAAAATGCTTACGACAGTTCTTGCCGGACAAATGTATTAATTAATAAACATGAAAGAAGCTTATTTTAAGTATGATTGACGCAGTGCCCAGCATAAAAAAAATCTAGAAACACCAACAAAAGCAAAAAATACAAACAAAACAGGACCAACCCCGAGGGATTGCTTTGCATGGATCTTGTTATTTATTTATGTCAACGGTAACTAATAACATTTTTTATAATTTTTTTAACATATTTTCAAGACACGATTAATTAACAAATAAGTTTTATTGTCCTAAATAATATTCTTTAACAAATATATAACACTAATTACAAAAGGTCAGGCTAGAGACGATTTTTCCCTTAAGACTTTGGAACTCCTCCTCCACCCCCTTATCCCTCTAGGTAAATCCAATAACTTTGCAATGAATCTATATGATTATCCAAGCCACCGAACAATTCGACTGGTAAAAACCTACACATCCTTTACAACTGTGACGTTTCCTTATCATGGAGTAGCACTAGTTGATGTCAACCCCATAGGTGAGCCAAAAAGGATGGTGAGCGCATGTTGTTTTCTGGTGAGTGGGTTTGGTGATTTTGTGTTTAAAAAAGTCAGTACAATTGGTCAGCTGGTAGCCACTATAATCAAATATAGTGTTGTATATTTTCTGTTTAAAATTTAACAAAATGTTAATAGAAGAATCATATTAATTGAAAACTTGCTTGTTCAATTTTGAAATTTTTAGTTGAAGTCATGTCTAATGTATACAAGCTAAGCTCAATATTCGATTTTAGTTAAGACCTAATGAATCAACCTCCCGACAATCGATACTAAGGTATCGAACAAGCATAATAATTAAATTTTCGGAAATAGGAACATCTTACGCTCAATGTAAGAAGAAAAAAATTCAAGGAACCTGATTCTGAAGATCTGGAACAGAATCGATCTTCTTATTTCCATTCAGGCTAATAAGCATTTCATCTGATGCATTGACGAATCCATATTCTAGACGAGATAAATTTTTATTTACCTTATATCAACATTGATTATCAAAAATATTGATATTACGCATGCATGAAATTTAAAATTACGAGTAAATTTTTACTAAAACAGTACAAAAATATTTGAAGAGTAAGTGTTCAATACGTAACGTGAAGTACCTGAGATTTAATAGTCAGCAACATATCTCTGAGTCGCTGCATCCAGCGCGGCGAATCTCGAAGTATCATCTCTCGCTCCATTTTTTACAAATTAACAGGTTATATGCAATTATTCAAAAG